AGTTGGACAAAAGGCTATATGACACACCATGACACATTGAAGCTTCCATGGCAAGAATTTTATTTTATTTGTTCTGTTTTCTTTGTGGTGGGGGAGGTGACAAGGGTGGAGGGCAAACATGGAAGGGCTGGGAAATGAATGGGATTGGGGTGCATGATGTGACATTCACAAAGGATCAATAAAAAAGTTCACCACATAAACACCAGAAAGTGAAAACACCTGAATGGCCAGCATAACATAAACAAAATGTGGTAGACCTATACAGTGAAGTACTATTTTGCCATGAAAAGAAATTAAATGCAGATGCATGCTTTAATGGGGATGAAACTGGAAAACACAGTGCTAATTGGAAGAGCCAGGTGCAAAAACCAACATGCTGTGTGGTTATTTTTATACGACCTGTTAGCTTCTATGACAAAATGCTTGAGAAACCAACTTAAAGAAGGAAAGTTGGGGGTCTTGGGCAGGAGAGGGGCTCATTCTTTCAGAGAGCTTAGTCCATGCTCACCTATGCTGACTGGTTGTAGGCCTGTAGCATCATAGGAGTAAGCAGAAGGGGAAAACTGCCTCACAGAGGCTAGGAAGGAAAGAGAGAAAGGAAGAGGGAAAAGGACATGGATGGAGAGAGACAGAGAGAGAGAGACTTGCATGTATAACAATGGCCCTCTTCCCTGGTCTTTTAAGCTATGAATACATTAATGTATTATTCATTAACAAGGTCAGCGCTCATGACCCAATCATCTTCCCAAAGCCTTAGTGACTAGCACAGCTCTGGGGACCAACCTTTAACACATAAGCTTCTGAGCCGCTGTTGACGTCAGCGTCTGGAATGATCCCACAAACTCCGGTTTTAGACACTTGCTCTCAAGCTGGTGGGGCCATGCTGAGAACCCCTGAAACCTTGCGATGGCAGAGTCTAGCTGGTAGAAGCCGGTCATTGAGGAGGGGCTTTGAAAACAATCCCTGGCCTTTGGCTATTTCAGCATTCTTGGCTTCTTTATCTTGTGAAGTAAACAGCTGCCCCAGGTCAGACACTCCCTCCTCCACCCCCTCCTCCACCCCCTCTTCCACCCCTTCCTCCACCCCCTCCTCCATCATGACGTCTGGCCCAAGAGCCTGGGGCCAGGCAGCTGTCTGACCCAAGAGCCTGAGGCCAAGCAGCTATGGGCTGAAATCTCTGAAAATATGAGCGGGGAAACAAGTCTTTTTCTCTTAAGTCTTCCTCTCTTTCTGTCATGTGTTTTTGACACCACAGTGCAAAGGTCATTAATAAAATAAATTTAATCCAAACAATACCATCTGAAGTACACAGACAAGGCAAGTCCATGGCTAATTAATTTCTAGAGGTTACAGAAAGGGGGAATAAGGAGGGATTTGCTAAGGGGCAGAGGGTCCCTTAGGAGATAATAAAATTAACCTGAAACTAGACAATAGTGACTGTTGCAAAACTTTGTAAGTGTAGTAAATGGCATTCAATTATATAATTTTATATAACCAGTGTGATTAATTATTACATGTAATGCATCACAATAAAAAGATTATTTAAAACACTGAAGATAGCCCAGCGGTGGTGGCTCATGCCTTTAATCCCAGCACTCAGGAGGCAGAGGCAGGAGGATCTCTGTGAGTTCAAGGCCAGCCTGGGCTACAGAGTGAGTTCCAGGACAGGCTCCAAAGCTACACAGAGAAAAAAAGCACAGAAGATAGTGTCATTTTATGGTAATTATTAAAAGACGCTTCATGAATAAATGCATGGTTACCAAAGGCATAAAAAGTGTTCAAGTTCACTTCAAGATGAACAAATGAAGACTTCCATTGAATTTCTCAGCTCCCTAACTGCTGACAATCTGACCCACATTATCCACTAACACTCACTTGCTAATCAATGAATGAACAATGGCATTCAGAAGTTGCAAAACACAGGAGAACATGTCTTAACTGATAGATTTCTACAAACATCCATTAGATTCTACCACAGATGATGGTCTTTTGATATTGAGAAAATAGACAGGGCTCATCATATATTAATATATGCTAACAAAAGGATGTATGTATAAGTGATAAATCCTATTTTCAGTTCCTACAATGTTGGTGAACATCAGAGGCGAGCATCTCACGGAATTGGATGGTTCCAAATGATTTGTAGTGAATGTTTTTATTCCACTACTTAAAATTCTATCATTGGTTGAACTAACATCTTAACATAAGCGAGAGTAATTAATTCCATACTGTATGAGTATAGGAAGCAAGTGAAGTCCTAAGTCAATGTGTATTGTTGACATGAACACAGCCATGTCAAGGACCTCCTCTAACAAGACCGCACTTCTTCAACAAAGCCTAATACTGCCACTCCCTATGAGCTCATGGTATTATGGGGGCCAATTATATTCAAACTACCACATACCCAAATCTAGTATGAGCAATCACAATAATACTCATATTTGTAACTTATCAAACTCAATGTGCCAAATGCCCTGCTAAATGTTTCATATACATTATCACATCTAATAAGTACCACAGCACCAACTGGGTGGATAAAATTCGCCTAATTTTATAGATGTTAAAACTTAGCCCTATAGAGGTTGAACAACTTGAAAACCAGCAGCTACCAAGTGGAAGATGGTAATGAAATCTCAGGTCTACATGACTCCAAACCATGCCTTCAAAAATAGGATCTATATAGCAGAAGACTTGGAATTGCCTGGGAACTGTTTATAAAGTATATATATTCTTAGGCCTACCCAAACTCTCCAAGTTGAAATAACATTTCAAGACAAGTGGTAAACCAATTAAAATTAGAAACTGTGACTGTCGTGCACCCTGCATGAGTATACCAGAGCCCACCAATAATAAACAGACACTTTCTTCAGGCAACAAGTTCAGTGTTGCAACACAGGGAAAATCTTTATGCCAATACTAATTGTTTATACATTTTTGCTTTTTTACTTTATTTATTTTTTTATGTATATAGTGTTCTGTCTGCATGTATGTCTACACACCATAAGAGGACATCAGATTTCATTATAGATGGTGTGAGCCACCATGTGGTTGCTGGGAATTGAACTCAGAACCTCTGGAAGAGCAGCCAGTGCTCTTAACTCTGAGCCATCTCTCCAACCCAAGTTTATGTTATTTGCAATGATTTCCAATTAACATGGAAGTTGCAGAAATTAATGTTTTTGTCCCATCAAGGAACAAGAACCAGTTACTATGTATGGCTCCCGTGCAGTCTAAGAAGTGTCTTTAGGAGTTTGTCTTATCACTCCGTTTTTCTCCTTTATCAAAAATTAGCAGCTTCTGTCTTTCATTATGCCCCTCTCATCACACACCTTCATTTCTTTTGCAATAAAAGTAATATATTCTTGATATCATTTTCTCAACTGGTAATGACTTAATACATTTTTTTAATTTGCAATTTTTTTAGCATTGTCAGGACTTTGATAGTTACATTGTTGTAAGAGCTCTACCTCAGCTCTATTTCCCTGTTTGTCAATAATTTTCCTAAATCATTTTGCAAGATGAAAGGAACATTGCATACCATACCAAAACAACTACATGCCAGGAAAAATACTGCCCATCTTATTTTATTAAATTTATCAAAACAGTCACTGCCAAATATTCCTAGGGAAATAGCTGTAATGTTATTGGTACCAAAATGTAAGTATGATAAAATTTTCAGACAAATGTCTTCATGATCTACATAGGCTCTAATCCAGATTTTGTCTCTGAGCTTCCCTGGGCTCCTCTTTCATTCTTCCTAATCTCACCAACATCCTCTCCATCTTTCCAAGGCACACTCCTGAGCCCTGATGATTTTGCTTTGGTGACATACCTACTCGCCTAGGCAGATCCTACACCCAGCCTTGACATGGTGTGTGAAGTCTGTTTCTAAGTGTTGACTCAAATCCTTCCTTTCCCATAAGGTCAGTGCAATTATGAATTAAACTTAACAATGTAAGGCATAAGACAGTTGCAGCCGGTCGGTGGTGGCGCACGCCTTTAATCCCAGCACTCGGGAGGCAGAGGCAGGCGGATCGCTGTGAGTTCGAGGCCAGCCTGGTCTACAGAGCGAGATCCAGAAAAGGAACAAAGCTACACAGAGACACCCTGTCTCAAAAAACCAAAAAAAAAAAAAAAAAAAAAAAAACCAACAACAAAAAAAGACAGTTGCAGCATCCAGTTTCTCTGATAGTTATTGTATCAAATCACACCAGTCATTACTGAGTAGTCAGAAATGAAAAATAGATTATTTTCAAATGAAAAGTGAAATCTGTCCTGCCAATGGTTTGTTAAACAAATTCCCTAAAGTTGACAGATGCACCTTCATCGGGTGTTTCCAAACAGAAGTGACACTATCAGCAGCTAACTCAGGCAGTAAAAAATTTAATTGGCATTTGAGTACCAAGAAATGATTGAGTGTATTGAGCCAGAGCATCTGTTCAGAAGAATCGAATGTAGTTATAGGGAACATCCAAGAACATATACGAGAACCCGTGAATGGGAAACCAGGGTTAGGCTGAGAACTCCGTGTAAAAGTCGTCTACTCTCAAAAAAACTCTCCCAGAGCCTTGCTGGCACGTTTTGTTGCAAACCTAGGACTGCCTATAAACAGGCTGGCTAAACCAAGTAGTCCGTACTTTCCCGGCAACTAGCTGAAGATTTTGGTTTCCTTCTTTCGTCCCTACAAAGTCACTAAGACAACCATTTTGCCGGGCCCACAGAAACACCGACCAACAGCGACGACACGCTTCAACTCAAGCCAAGGGTTAAAAGCTAAACCCAAATAGTTACAGCGCGGCCCAAACGTTGCGCGTGCACGACGCGCGGGCTCCGCCGCGGAGCAGAGCCCGGGCTGGGCACCTTTGCGCCTGCTCCACGGCCGGAGGGCGGGTGGTCCGAAGACGAGGAAGCGGCCAGCGCGCCTGCGCCGCCCCTTCTGCGGCTCCGGCGGGCTGCGCAGGCGCAGGAGGCCGCTTTTGACCGTAAACATCCTGCCGATTTGAACCAAGGATTTGGGCGGCCGGAAGAGCCGCGCCGTAACGGCAGCCATCTTGTTTGTTTGAGTGAATCGGAAAGGAGGCGGCGGCCGTGGCGGTGGCGGGAGCGGCTCCGAGGCGACACCGCACAAGGGCTCCCCCTTTCCCCGCCCCCTCCCCCGACCCTTTTCCCCCTCCCCGGGCCACCCACCCCTCCCAGCTTCCCCGCGGAGATACAGGTAAGCGGCCGGGCCGACCCCCTCCGTGGGCT